TCATCGCCTTGAAGCGCCAGCCTTCCTCTGGGAATCGTGCCATTGATTCGCTCAGTCTCTACCTAGCCTAGCAGGTAGCATCGCAGTCCTAAGAACTACGAGATTATCCGTAGCTCGTGTCTAGTAAAGCCCCACGCTTACTATTCGGCTGATTGGTATAGTTCTCGGTGAACGTTAGCTTTTTCTAGGGATTCCAGTATTTGAACCTTATTTCTGCGTGAGCTGCTAGCCAGCATCTTTCTCATACGCTTCGGCAGCGCACGGAGCCCATATCCTTAACACTCGGTCAAGGAAAAAGTCCTTTTCGACTTTGACTTCGGCTTCGCTTTTGGCGTCGCTTTCTGAAGAGGGTGTGAGATGAGTAAAATGGTCAGAATCGTGCACCCAATCTCTTGGACTTAAGGTTAAGCCTTAACTTAATTTAAACCTTAATAAGCCCTTAATATTAAGCTCAACAATGAGCCGGAATCGTCTTAAGGCTTAATTAAGCTTAATGATGCCATCATAATATTAGAATCCAAGCAAAAATTGCTCTTCCTGATACAGATTGTCCAAACCCGAGCCTCCAGCTGAATGCGCCATCCAAGAAATCAATGGGATAATTTGGTGAAGACTTGCCCCCAACTCGAACCAACTTCACTTAACATCAATTGTTGATGGAGTTATTTGCTGCGACAAAAAAATGCGACTACAACGAAGAGTTGGATTGCCTAGTGGATGTTACCTACAGAGATGTCATGACCCATGATTTCTCCCCTTTCCTGGCAGCCTAAAATATGCCCCCGCTGAAAATTAAGCCCTTAATATAGGACCCTTAATTAAGGCTTATTAAGGGTTTATTGCAATTTGCAATAATAATGACCATCTCATTTTTTTGAAAAAAAAAGTTAGAGTTTGGGCAGCCATCTCACAAGGGTTCGAACCGTGCGGTCCGCTCCTTTTTGAGGATAGATTAGCCTTTTTGGCTGGGTACCACTGATATCTATTATATACACTGTATAAGCCAGTAGACGTAATGAGAAAAAGAGGCGGGCCGCCCGGTTTGAACCCTCGCGAGATGGCCGCCCAAACTCTAACTTTTTTTTTCAAAAAAACGAGATGGACATTATTATTGCAATTTGCAATAAGCCTTAACCATAGATCCGACCCTTAATAAGGGCTTAATGTCTAACACTGAGTTACTGTTACCTCCTTTGCGACAAGGATCGGGCCGACGTTCTGGGATGTACGTGAGACAGAACAAGGTATCTGGGGAACGTCAACATACCTGTGCAATTTTGCGATACCGCGGCGGCGCTTGGGCAAAGAACGTGTTCGTGAAGCCTTTCTGGGCCTTAATGTCTTCGCGTTGTCATCGCGAGGCTGCATAAAATCTCCGAACTCATTACTCTGATCGCGGATATCATGAGCATCGGAAAGCGCTATGGTTCTGTCCTCCGCTACAAGCAATGCCGCGATGAAAGGGGTAAGAATAAATGCAATCAAGTCTTTGGGGTCGAAGAGGTTGGACATTTCGTCGTATTGGTCAATATATCCGGATCGTCGACGATGAGTCCTGAGAGTGTGTCATACAGGTCGTTGCGTATCGTGGGACCGTAGCTGGGAGTGATTAGATGAACGATAGGCTTTAGAGGATTGATTGAAACTCGCTATCCACACCGCCTCGCATGCAAGGCGTAAACTTTGACTGTGCGTTACAGAACTTGAATATTTTCGAGTTGATACCCTTGGGAAAATTTGCCCAGACCGCGGATCTCCCAAGACACTGGGGTTTCTGATCATCCGGACAATTTGTCTCCCCAGCAGAAGAATGCGTTGATGAACGGCTTTGTAGTCGATTTTCGCAAACCAATCGTTCGCTTTGCCGATTTTGATAAAGTGGGCGTAGCTACTTTCTTGAGAGATCACCGTACAGATCTTAAGGTCTAAGAATGATACACTGGGGCCCGAGCGGCTAACATCTTCCGCCAGCGTTTGACGTTGCTGAAACACGCGACTAGGGCAGAATGTGCTCGCTTAGTTCCCCGGGCAGCTCGTCGTCACGCATGCCTGTATGAAAAGTCGGAGGAAGGTCGGACCATGACAGAGGAAGGGCGCATTCAGAGGAATTCGTTGGCTTTTCGCTCTTGAACGATGCCGGAATTTTTAGCGAAATACTAGAGGAATCAAGAGCAACCGGGATCCAGTCAAGTTCAGTAGACATTGAGGTTTCAGACAAAGTCATTCCACGCTAGAAACCATGTTATAAACGGCCCGATGCCATTGGAGTCGGCCAGATGGTGAGAGAGACGAGAAAAGAGCTGGCGGGAGCACTGGCACCAAATATGGCCAAATCCGGCGTTCTTTCGTGATCCGAGGCACGAATTAGGGTCGGGGGAGGGGTAGGGAGGATAGAAGAAAAAATCGCCAAATTGACTCAAGATGAGTGGAGGCTGCCCAACTGACAAGCCTTCAATCGCCTTGAGTGGGCCAAAATGCAGTCAGGTTCGGCTCAATCGGCCTGATTGAGGAAATCAAATTCTGATTGAGTCATCAATCAGGCTGATTGAAAGTTCTTCCCACAGTGACAGGCGAGGGACGGGAAGAGGGAAGTAAGCTCGAATGAGAGGGATTATCAACGGAGACGACGGGCATGTGTTGGGAAGGTGTTGTGCAACGATGCCGCTTCGTGCGCACGGAGATGGGAGAAGTACAGGTTTGAGACCGGGTTGATGCAGGGTCGATGAACGCAGATGGGCTTCAGGCGCGCGCGTTGCAGCGGGGAGGCAATAGCTGAGTCTGTTTGGTCTTCCTCTTTCCGGGAGGTCTTCCTGGGCAGAGACGTCAGGCGGGCCATCGGAGATTGGACGGCTAACACGGGGTGCGGAGAAGTGAAAGTGCGGGCTCGAAGCTGAAGTGAATGAATGATACGCGCGAGTATGCGGCGACGAAATTGGATGAAATACATGGAAAAATTGGACGCACCAGACGCCACCGTCGTGCCGTTGTCGGAAAAGTATTTGTTTGCATATATGGCCTGAGATGACCTGACGACCTGATATGGCCATATATGGCCCGCGCAGGCAGAATATATGGCCATATCAGGTCATATATTGTGAGCTCAGGTCGAATATGGATTCCTCAGACCAGACCAGACCACACGGATAAATTGATATATTTAGGTACACGCTAATCTAATTACCTGCTCGTAAAAACATGTCCCCGTCAATCAGATCGTTGAGGAACGTCAAGGATGGCTTGTTTGCGTCAAACACAGGAATCATGTGGGCCCCGCGGATTAGATACTTCACCATCACAAAGTCGAACAACTTCTGCTCGTCTGGACCAAGCATTTTGTCCTACACCGACGACGACATGTCCACCTCCGAATCTCGCCGAGACAAGTTTCGCGACATAATCGGATATACGACCACCCCGGAGGGCTCCACCTACGAAACTTTCAATGCTGAGGTTCTTCACAAGGACTACAAGGGATCTTTCGACCGCGATACAGTTTTCCGCGGCGAAAAACTTCACCTGGTACTGTGTTTTTCTCAACATCATCCCACGCCTTTACTGATTGCCGCGACCGTAGACGTTCGCTGCAGTTACGCTTGGGCCGAAAGCAGTCACGGCCCTGAAGAAGACCGGGAAACCCACGCCAGCATCCGGTAAAACAATGTCGCACCTTTGGAATCTTGACCACAGCACCGTGGGCTCGGTCGCTGCCATCGGCATCCTGGTACGTACATGTATCGATATATCTTGCTCTGAGAATTCGAACCCGCGCTGATTTGTCATAGACGCGCTGGGTTGCTTCTGCCGACTTGCACCTGACGGCGAAAGGGGCCCAGACTGGCATCAATTGGCAGGCCGACCTTGAAGATTACATCGAATATCTGCAAACCGGCCTCGACCAGCGCAAAGCCTCGGTCCTGAGAATCTTCCGTGAGTGGGATGAGATCTTTTTCCCCGACTCCGAGACGAGCCTCGCTGGAGATGGCGCGAGCGACGAGGATCACGAGAAGGAGAAGCAATGTGTAATGGACCTTCTCCGCGAGGATGAGGAAGAATAACTGGTTTTTTTTTCGTTACTATACACGCATGTAACCCTCTAGCATCAACTTACAAGTAGTTCAGAATTTTCTGTGATTTTTTTTCGTTCGGTTTGACGTGCTCAATCCATTTTTATCGAGGCTTTTTGGACTTGTGGGGCCCGTGTGAATGGCCAACCCGTTGGCCCGAGCTAGGTACATAACTCAGGTAACGACATCCCAACATTTTCACCCATGTACATGTGCGCGTCCCAGCACTTCCTTTAGTTGAAACACTTGCTATAGCTTACTTAGTACCCCTTATCATTGGCTTCTGACCCTTCAACGACTTACTGACTACCTGACTGACTGACTACTGTAAAAGCAAGTGAAGTAAGTAACAAATGGCCGCCCCTTCAAAAGGCATTGAAGGGGTGGTTGGTATATTGCGTTTTCAACCGGTGCAACATTATACGGCTAAATATGGCGTAGTATGCCAGAAATGGCGTCGTCAGGCATATATGGACCGTCAGGCCTGATATAACCTGGTATAGCCATAAGGTACATTACTGAACAATATATGGAGGTTTTCTCCCTGACAGCCTGATATTGCAATATATGGACATATATCGGAATATATTCCAACAAAGATTTTTCCGACAGTCGTACATCCTTCATTCCCATTCTAGCAATTGTGTAAGCAGCCAGCGCCGTGCCGCTGTCGCTGTTGTCGCCGAGGATACGAGCATGAAAGCCTGAGTCCTCTACTATTGCGGGCCAGGATGATACGCTGCGAGTAAGCTGGGGTCATCGTCGGCTTATCAGCTTGTTATCAGCCAGTTTAGCACAGTGAGCTAGCCGTTCGCTCAAAGGGACATGCTAGAGTTGAGACGCAGGGCATACGCGATGGCTATGACACAGGTTTTTAGGCGAGGAGTGCGACGAGGGAAGAAAAGGAAAGAAAAAAACGTCGAGATCGGAGAAATAGGCCCTCGATGGGAGTCGAACCCACGTCGCCCGCAAACTGTGTCCATATTATTCCAAAGTGAATGGGGAATCTACCAACTGATCTACGAGGGCGTCGCCGAAGTTGAACTTGATTTTACACTCGGTCCTTCTTTGCCCGTAGAGACGCTGGGAGGGAGCCGAGTTGAAACCCGATTGGTTATGCAGGCGTACATACCCGGTCAACTCGGGGTCGGGCCGTATGGCTGCCTACTTACGGTATTCTTATCCTACACACTGAGACTACTGTACGTGGTGTCAAAAGTAGGTGATCACCGATGCATGAAATTTTGCTTTGGCTCCCGAGTTAGTTTTGGGAAGCTGAAATGAAGACAGTCGACGTATCCAGAGTAGTGTTGTTCGGGTCGGGTCGGGCCTGAAAGCCCGGGCTTGGGTCGGGTCGGGGTAGGGTCGGGCCTGAAAAATATCCTGAGCCCGACCCTAGGCCCCAGGTAGGGTCGGGTCGGGTCGGGCTTGGGCCTGAGCCTGGGCCTGAGTACGTTTTTCAGAGACTTGATCAAGTAAGTTTTTTCGAACATGAACATGTTATACAACACACTACTGACCTCATCTATCCTCTTCCATTTCTTAGTAGCCTGAATTTACCCTTCAACGAAGATTTGAACTATCATCATACATTGTGGACAAGTTCTGTCAAACCATCTGGCCACACAAATGCCAAGTGAGCGCCGCAACACAATCCACATTTGACGTACAAGAGTGAGGGGTAAAATATTTTTTCCTCACCAAAAGTTCGGTGGAAAGGATACACAAACCGACCCGGGCTCAAGCCCGGGTCGCGGGTCTTGAAAAATCTCAGGCCCGACCCTAGGCCCGACTCAAACTAGGGTCGGGTCGGGCCTGGGTCGGGCAGGGTCGGGTCGGGCTTGGGTCGGGCTTGGGCCTAAGCCCTGGCCCGGGACATCACTAAGATTCCAGAGCGAAACCTCACAGAAAGGCTCGATGGCGGGTGGATCGCACCTGCAACAAATGGGCCGATACTGAATAGTACGACGAACAGTTGATGCAGGGATGCCCGTTTGATTCGCGGTCGGGTCGTGGATGATTGGGTCGCTTTTTTTTCCTGTACACCGAGAATTGATTTGAAAGGACGCACACGTTGCAATTACGGGCTTCCGCCAGTGGGGTGTGATTGGGCTTTGGCTTCTGACTAGGTGAATTCTGAAGCGGAATATCAGGCTCGTGTCCGGTTAAAATCTTCATCTGCAAGGCTCGCGGTCGGACCGCACCTGCAAACCGTGCGTGACTTTCTCGTGAACCGTGATGCAGGCACACCCGTTCGACTCGGGGCCCAGCCATCAAGTGGAGAGGTGCTTGTTTTATGTTTTCCACACTAGAAATCAATTGAAAAAGTACGTGCGGATTGTAATGCTTGAAGCAGTAAACGAACCTTTGCTTTGGATTGCGACGCAAGTCCAGAACTAACTGAGCCGGTGGGACGTATACAGGTTGAAACCTGCATTGGAAAGGCTCGATGGCGGTCGGACCGCACCTGCAACAAATGCGATAAGGATTTCGCTAGGACGCAGACACACGTATTTGACTCGGGGTCGAACCGTGACTCTGACCCATCGCTTTTATCTTGCACACTGGGAGTTAATTGAACGTGCATGCCTGTCGATTTGGGGTCCTGAGTGAAGTCTGGAAGCAAAAGCTTACACTGGTGGCTCGATAGCGGTGGACCGCACCTGCAACAGATAATCTTGCTTGGCTTTGCCGTAGACATACCGTTCCACTCGGGGTCGAGCCGTGAGTAAGGTAGTAAGTAGGCTGCATTTTTATTTCGCGCATTGATTGAAGCTACGCACCGGCATGCTTGAATTTAACATGTGTTTTGGATACTGGCTGAAGTGGGGATGCAGGATACTACGCTGTCAGTCTACCTATCCAGCTTGAAAGCCTCATCAGAAAGGCTCGATAGCGGTGGACCGCACCTGCAACAAATAGGTCGACGTGTTTCAAGTTGACGCAGACATACCCGTTCGACTCGGGATCGAGCTGTGGGGTTTGTTTGATCATTTTTATATGTTGCAGACTGAGAAAGAAATGAAAAGTGCGTGCATCAGCGGCATTGGATATACCTTTTGTTTTGGGGACTGGGTCAAGTGGGAAGCATGATACTCGGTATTGCACCGCTTGCAGTCCCCGTATGCGAATTGAATCACCCACTAGAAAGGCTCGATAGCGGTCGGACCGCGCCTGCAACAAACAGGGCGACGTGTTTCAATTGACGCAGGCGTACTGTAGCAGTCTGTATGAGTGAAACAGATTTTGGATCGTGACTGAAATGATTGGGTTGAAACCAGAAACGGCCTGCCTGTTATGCGTTACACTTGAAATGATGACCTTGTGAGCCTATTTTTTTCATCGTTTACTCTTCTTTTTGACGCAAAAACTTCAGCGGGGGGGGGGGGGGGGGGATTATTATACTCACGTGGCCCAAGTGTCTGAACAACGAGTTTACCAAAGACAAACAGGCAAGTAATGTACGGGTGGTTATCCTTACGTATACCTACAAGATGCCAATGGAGCACACACCATTCCAGGGGGTCGATCACGCGCGACACTGACTCACTGTGGACTGGCCGACCTTTCAACAGGCGGGACCTCCGGTTATAACCTCATGGGCGCCCGACCACGAGCGTTCATGGTGCACAACTGTGCGGTAGGAGGGGCCCTCCTCCCCAGACGGTAATAATTTCCCCCGTATCCACCAGTCACACTGAGCTGTGGGATGTCTTTCCCTTTGCAGAATGCATGCACAAAAAATATCAGTGTGTTCAACTTCCAGAGGAAGGTCCACCACAGCTGAGAACCATAAGATTTTGGGTGTCCGCATCCAGATGCAGACCGAGAATCATCGAGCGAACGAGAAGGGTCATAGACCCAAGAAAATAACAGTGGCCTCCATAGACGTAGGAGACAAGAAGAACAGAACATCTCAAGGCAAGCGCGTCGGCTCGTGCACAATGAGCATGGGACTCGTGTCAAATATTTTGAGCACATCGTAAGCTAGTTTGCCCAGGAGCGGTGTCGTACGTAGTCAGTAGCAATGAAGTCCAGAATATGTATAGCCTGGCCATCGGGACGGGAATGCGAGACGGGGACATAGCAGCCTTGATTCCCTTGAATGCACGAGCCAAGCACAAGGATCGTTGATGTTGTTATCGCGTTTAGCCGCATGGAGTTGGCATGGAGACAGAGCTACGTGTCCTAATATGCCAGCCAACAGAAGTAGAGTCCGATTGCGGCGCAGAAGTATCAAGGGAGGAGATTGCCCAGTAGACCAGTGTCGACGCGGCGGAGAGGGAGAGGACCAGCAGTGAGAGAAGGACGAGAATCGGGAGCGTCGCGGACCGGTGATTAACCGTTCTTTAACGAGATGGTGCGTAAGCTGTGCTTTTGCCCCATATAGTTCTATCTCCATTTTACGCCCTCTGTTCTTGCTCTTGGAGAACAGGCTGATTTACTCCATCTGTGGTGGTGTACGGGGGTGTGATGGGGTCCCTGTGCTGTTGCGGTTCTGTCCCTGCGGCCTGCGCAAGCGTTGCCGAATGGCCACGCAATACGGGATTTTTTTCAACCACGGCAACTTGGCGCACTCGTCCCTTTTCAGCCACACACGTGGCCGTGCGCAGCCTGGAAGCTCCGTAGATCGGGCAGGCACAGCTCACTCTCGGTCCAAACTCAAAGACAATGAGGCCAGTCGTCTCAAAAAGTTGTTAGTCCAGCTGACCCTTTCGCAGTTCAACGCAGCACGGACATTGCCGTTTCTCCGAGGATAATCCACTATAAATGGACAGAGATTTTCGTGTGCTTCCCGGACACTCCCCATTGTTTCTTGACCCGCTTTTTCCCAACCTTCCTGCCAGCAAATATAGCACCTCGTCAAATATCATATCTATGCCAAGTTGGGAACAATTGCATCAAACCACGCTCCGAATGATGTTCTGGCTGTTGTGCGCTCGACGAAAGATTCTGGCGCCGCATAAGCACCCTCCCCTCACTTCTTCAACTAGCTAGCAGCACCCAATTTTCATTTCTCGTGGTTCAAACGCACCGCAGGCCCGCAGCCCTGATCCATATCTTCAAACATAGAAACGATCCTTTGCTCAACGGCGTTGCTGAAGCGATGCAAAAAGATTGAGCTTTTCACGTAACACTGTCCCCAGTTTCTCATCTATACCCACAAGGCAACGCCTCTTCTTCGTTCGACCCCGGCCGATGACCTCGAATATCAGCATTTCTTTCGATCTCAACTTCACCTTCTGGATGGATCTGTCGAACCTTGAACCTCATCGTATTCCGAGTGACTCAACCTCCGAGGCCCACATCGTGCCCTTTCTAACCGTTCAGGGTTCCGATATAATTACCCATAAAGATCCACGACAATTGTGGGTCTCGCCGTGCCGTTATCATCCCCGCATGCGCGCTCGGAGACAAGTTCATAAGCCTTTTGTCCACTATTCCTGGCCGCGATTTCTGACTGCCAAACCATAGGCCCCGACGGGGTTTACAAGGTCAATCCATCCTGCTTAATCTCGATTGAGTAAATTCAACGTTGGGTCTGACGTTCGTCCATCCGAATCGCAGTCATCCATGTTTGTTCTTTTTCTTTACTATGCTCACCTTTGCTCACTGTATTTTCTCACGGCCGTCATCGTAGCCCGACTATTGTCTAACAATCCTCCTCCACCTCTGCAGTGCTGTTCAAATCCACCTGGCATTATCACGGCTGCGTCCGGCGTAATGGCAAGAGCGACTCAACCTGACACTCCTTCTCGTAGAGCATAACAGATGTACTTGGCAGAATAATACGCCTGCCCCCGCTTCATAGGCACTGTCGTGAGCCCTCTGAGTGAGCTAAGTTTGTCTCTCAGAGACAACAGCAGTTTAAGCTTCATTCATCGAATACCGTGCTCGTAATCTTACGCGCCTCCACTGCGCAGCCTAAAGCTCCGACCAAATAGATTCCCAACTTTTCCCACCCAGAAACTAGATCTTCTTTGTCTACGCAGTCTGCAGATCCGGCCAGCAAGCATGTCAGTGCACGA